AGGGGTTACAGTTACATGAGCAAGGTAATGAGTACATTTCTTATCAAGCATTGTTGCCTCCTCCTTTGTTTTTCCCCTACCATCCCTTCCTTCCCACCTCCACAACTATACTCCCTTCCCTGAGTTTTTTCACTTAAGGCTAGCTAGCACTCTACTACTTTGAGCCACAGGGCCACTTCCAGTTTTCTGGTGGTTAATTGAAGGTAAGAGTTTCATGGACTTTCCTACTCTGTTGGCGCTTTGAACTGCAATTCTGAGATCTCAGCCTCCTGAGTAGCTTGGATTACAGGCAGGAGCCACCAGTGCCTGGTGAGGGTTTAATTTTTTATTCTCTTCCTGGTAGTTCTTGAGCTTTTCCTGAGCTCTTACCAATACAGTAGAGGGCAGTCATTGGACCTCTTGTCTTTTCTATCTCATGTTCATTTTCTTGATGAGCTCAGCCAATTTGGCTGCTGACAAATTTTGAATTTATTTCCTCTAGCAAGTCTCTCAGATTCAGCTGCCTACTCACATCTCACTGACATCTCAACATTCCCAAAGTGAGCTTCTAATCTTCCCCTCAGAATCTGCTCCTCTCATCATCTCTCCATTTCTGTACATGACAACCCCATCCAAATAGGTATTCAAGCCACTCTGGTGTCATCCTTCACGCCTCTCCCTTTCCCACGCCCACATCCAGTCTGTCGGCAAATCTACTTACTGTACCTCCAGAATTCCTTTCAAATCTGGTTACTCCTCACCACCATCACTACCCCCTTCCTGGGAAGCCACTCAACTATAAGGTTCTCTCCTCATCCACCTGGGAGTATAATAAGTCAACTGTGACTTAAGGCTCGTGTTGAGGTCAAAAACTAATGCATGAAAAGAACTTATCTTAGGGTTGAGCAAGCTGATAGTGATCAATAAATGTTAGCTTTCATCATTATTCCTGCCTTTTGTTTTCTAGGTTGCAGGGATGGGATGAGGTCAAGGGGAAAAGGATAGATAAATGAAGAGAAGGGATGAAGAATGCAGTCAAAATTCAATGTATGCCCTACAAAATTAAAAGTGAGGGAAGGGGAAAATTGAGAGGGATAGGTGTGACTGTTAAAAGGGGTGACATCAATCATGATGCATTCTATTCATAAACTGCTTTGTTGAATGGTAACTCCTGCGTACAACTACTTAAAATATTTTTTTAAAGATTTGACTAGTAAAATTGATGCCATCGGCTCTTTTTCATAAAACTGAATTTCATTCTTTTATGCATAAAATTTCCATTTTTAAGATTTGAACTAAATGAGTTAAAGAAAATGAATGTATTACTATGTTGATAATTTAGCTTCTGAACAGTCGTCCAGAAAAAGTCATGAGTAATCACTTAAAAAACGAGGTTCAAACCAGGTGCCAGTATTTCACACTTGCAAGTTAAGCTACTCAGGAGGCTGAGATCTGAGGATCACGGTTTGATGGCAGTCCAGGCAGGAAAGTCCATGAGACTCGTATTTCAAGTTAACCAGCAGAAAACCAGAAGTGGAGTTTGGCTCAAAATGGTAAGAATGCTAGCCTTGAGCAAAAGAGCTCAGGGAAAGCAACCAGGCCTTGAGTTTAAGCCCCACGACTAACCAAAACAAAACAAACCACACACACACACACACACAAGGTTCCAAAGCACAATGCCAATTTGAATCATTAGAATTCTCAACCTTGAGTGATTTTCAGCTAATTAGAAAACTTTGGTACAGAAAAATATATTTTTTAATTCAAGGTTATATAAAATTGTATTGCACAGTAAGATACAGCTGTAGCTTTATAATCTGAAATAACTTTGGGGTCAAAAGAAACTCATAAAAATGTTTCTGTAATAGCAACTGGGGTAACAGCCAGATGTATAAAACAGCCTCATATTGTATTAACCTGTGGTAACCATAAATCTATTATCCAACTAGTTACTAGTAGTAATTAGATTTTTTTTTAATGCTCAACATTAGTACCTTGTTATCAACAGTGTATACAATAGGTCTGAATTACATAGGAAACATCTCTATTAAATACTAAAGTGTATAAATTAAACACATGGGTTAAACCATTGCTCTAATAATTAGAAAAATGTTTTCAGAATAATTAGCTTACTCTTTAATGGGAGGAATTTCCTAACATATGGGAAGAATAGTATTTGAATAGATAAGAAAAATATTACTCTAATTTTATTAAATGGTTACCAAAACACAAAGGCACAATGCCCATGTGCCTCTAATCATATAAAATAATATTTATCAACAACAACTCCAAGAAGTAGAAATGAGAGGGTTTTTTTCTTCATGTTGTTAACTTTTCTTTTTGTCTTGTGTGTTTATCTGTCTTTAGGAGTGTAAGGAGGAGAACAGAAATGGAGGGACAAAGGATGAACAAATGCAGGAGTGGTACTCGCTAGACATTGTGTTGAAAATGAACTCCAACTCGTGGGTGGGGACAGGAAGCAAAAACAGGGAGAGAATGAGGAAAGGTGTAACATTGACTGAAAAGAAATGTATTCTTTTTTCTTTTTCTTTTTTGTTGGTCATGGGGCTTGAACTATGGGTTTGGGCGCTGTCCCTACACTCTTCAGCTCAAGGCGAGTGCTCTACCACTTGAGCCACAGCGCCTCTTCTGGTTTTCTAGTGGTTTATTGGAGATATGAGTCTCACGGTCTTTTCTGCCTGGGCTGGCTTTGAACTACGATCCTCAGATCTCAGCCTCCTGAGTAGCTAGGGTTACAGGTGTGAGCCACCAACGCCCAGCTGAAATGTATTCTTTACCTCACATTTGTAACTGGTGCACCTCTGTACGTCAATGACCTATATAGTAACAATTTTTAAAAATTAATTTAAAAGGTTACTGGAAATTATTTTTATTATTTCAGTCAGTAATTCTCATAATTTTGTAAATATATACATACATTCATATATACACATTTACACATAAAACAGTATGAAAGAGCTAATGAAATATTATGAATGAGGTAATGAAAAAACAATGGTGAATTGTTTTTAGTATAGGCCTCTTGTAAAAAAATTTTGTTTCTTTTGGTAATGGAGCTTGAACTCTGGGCCTGGGCGCTGTCCCTCAGCTCTTCAGCTCAAGGCAAGCACTCTACCACTTGAGCCACAATGCCACTTCCAAGTTTCTGGTGGTTTATTGGAGATAAGAGTCTCATGGACTTTCCTGCCTGGGCTGGCTTTGAACAGCTATCCTGAGTAGCTAGGATTACAGGTGTGGAATTTTTTGAGTATAAAAACTAGGTAAGGGCTAAGGTATGGCTTAATAGAGTACCTGTCTAGCAAGGGCTAAGGCCATGAGTGCAAAACCCAGTACAACCAAAAAAGAGCTAGAGAATAATGAACTTGGAATGTTTTAAGGTGGTGAGGGGACAACCCTAATATGAAATTTGTAGTTAGCTTTTGTCCATAATTAGTTAAATTTTGTGTTAGTCCTAGAATGATAGACATATCAACAAATTTGAATATCATATTATATGCAGAAGTTACTTTGTAAATATGAATGCCATTGATGTCCGTTGTGAGATCATTTTAGGTGATGCACAAATATTTTATATTCTAATTCGTATTTTGTTTTGGTTTTGTAGGAAGTCCTGGCTGAGCAAGGTTGGAAGTCCTAGTTCTCGCATCGACCGCACAGAGTTTTCGAATGAGAAAACTATCTCTAAACTGGAGTACTCTAATTTTAGTATCCGATACTAAGGAAAGAGAAATAAAAGTTGTAGTTCTTACACTGCAAGATAACTGTCTGTATTCTAAGTCTATATTTTAGAGTAATAATTGCAGAGTAGGATTAAAAAGGGGAACTTTCTGTTCTGATAGCTACAGAATTATATATGGCTAAACATGTCTGTCACTGGAATAATTTTACCCAATTTTATGTTCAGGTAGAACCATAATATTCTAAGATGGAAAATGACATTATAAACAATTTCATGTGAACATTCAAGTTAAGCTTTGTCATGGAATGTTTAATTTCACTGAAAAATCACAATATACATGTTATTTCATTAGACAGAAAATAATAAAGTTAACCACCCAAAATTATTTTTAGGTACTGTTGTCTGTGATAAATTTGAATGTCTGATGAATAATAATTGGCTATTAAAGTTGAGTGGTTTATTTTTTATTATATTAATTTTATGTACTTGTACAAAGGTGTTACCAGTCAACAAATAAGTTTCCAAATACAAAACATCTTGATCAATGCCACTTGAATAATTTGTTACTGAGTCTCTAAAGGATTTTAACCAGTGGATAAACTAAATACATATGGTGATCAATGAAATAATCATAATAAGCATAAATAGTTTTAACATTTTGGTTAAATATGAATATAATTGCATAGTAAGCTGGACTTAATCTCTTCTTAAACTATATATTTTTTTATATAGTGGATAAGATAGCTGGTGAGGAAAGCTGTAAGATCTCACAGTCTCCATACAGAAAGCCCAAGATTTTATCAAGAATTCTCAGTGGATGACTTATAACTGAAAAAGTACTAATACTATCCCCTAAACCTGTAATGTCATTTGAGGATTTTCAAATATAAATGATAACCAAGCCACAGAATATTTCAAGGAAAAGATTTGTTTCTACACCTTAGAATTACAAGATTGAATAGGATGGGGGAAAAAAACTGAAGAATTTAAAATGTTGTAGGTATGTGCTTGCAAAGATTCTCCAATAACTTCCAAATTGTGATAATAATGTAACCATTCACTAAAACTAAATTTTAGCCAGCTGGGTAATACATGCCTGTAATCTCAGCTACTTGGTCAGCAGAGAGGAAGATCATAGTTCAAGGCCACCTTAGGCAAAGTTAATAGAAGACTATCTCAAAAACAAACTGAAAAAGTAAAAGGACTAAAGACATAGTTCAAGTGGTAGTGTAGTGTACTTGCCCAGCAAGTTTGAGGTCCTGAGTTCAATTGCTAGTACAGTAAAAGACTATTTTTATGTGGGAATTGAATACCTAAAACAAATGATTATTAAAATGGGGTCAGGAGGATCCTTGAGGTACTGAGCACTTGTTCTCTCCTCCTCTTCTTTGTTAGTCTACTTCAAATCTTTTGGGAGTGCTGGTTGAAATTTCTGTTCTATGTATGGTACAAAAGTCCTTGCTGAATGCCACAGCCTAGAGAGGGAATCCAGGTCTCTTTACCTGCTGCATGGAAAAAAAGAGAGGAGATGAAGGGCAGCCTGAGCTGGTTTGAAAGTTAATTTCATTGATAGATGGTAACAAAGATACCAAATGTATTTCTACATTTATATAGAAATAGGGACAATGTTGCATTGCCCTATACCTAAATATATTTATTTAGGTCTACTAAACATACCTAAATAAAGGAAGAAAGAGCATGCCTCTTGTTCTAATGTAGGTATCATGCTAAGCAGTACATGTATTGAACATTCCCCAGAAGAATTTATCAAGGTATTTCTTCACGTGGGTTGTGCTCTCCTATTTCCTATTTCAGGTTCCCTTACCTGTGTTTGTGTTCCTCTGTGTTCCCTTACATCAGAGAAGGTTTTGGAGCCAGATACCCTTGAAGAAAACTTTACTTCAAGGGTATCCTTTTAAAGAAAGCCTAGTCCTATTGGTTGAGGAGAAAGCTAGAAGCCTGGGCCTTTAGCAGGTGAGAGGGAAGCAGAAATAGTGAGAACCAGGGGGACAAGGAAGTCATCCAAAAAGAACAGTTCCTTAGAAAGGGGTCCAAGGCTGTATCATTCTCGAGTTATGGAGACCTGCTCGTTTATCCCAACAGCTCCTCCAAAGTAGAGTGGTGAGCAGTGTTGTACCCAGTTAAGCAAGATCACAAATTTAGGGGCTCCCACCTCCAGCAAGATTCTTATACCTCATAGTGCCAGCAGACATCCTACAGGCACCATGGCCCTCAGGCAGTAGTTATGGTATCTGGTTTTCTCTGAATAAGACTTTTTGTGAGGGGGTAGCACACCGCGGAGAAACAAGAGTGAACTGCCCAACTCCCACACAGGATGGTGTGTGAAGGCTCCTTTTGATTTAGAGAAAATCAAATTGACATTTTTTCCTACACAACTTTGGGAAACAAAATCTATATTTCTCTACATATAGGAAAGTTTAGTGTTTTCAAAAATATTGTCTCAGAAGTGACACTAATATATTTTTTCTTTATTGATATCCTTTAATAATTCTTTTCTCAGCTTTCTTTATAAGACAAGCACATTTGCTAGATGAATCTTGTGACTATACAAAGTGAATAGCATTAGTCAAAATTACATAATGATTAATGCATACCTGAATTCCATTACTGGATGGAAAATGTAAATAATGACTGAGAGTAAGTGTTCATGGATAAGTAGAAAGCAAACAAAATACAGAATAATATAAAGTGATGCTATGGAGACCAGATAACACCTTCAATAGTTAACTTGGTATTCTCAAATTTCATCTTGCACTCCCACAGTGAATTTTAAACTTACATATCGTATTTTAGATAGGTATACTTCTGACAGAATTATTTATCTTCAGGCCCAAAAAAATTTCAGCAAAAAATAAATAACGAATTCAGTGATTATCAGCTGGGATCTTCACATGCCACAGAACCATACCTCCCCTAAAAAAGCAACCCGAATCCCAAGGCGAATGATTTCTAAAAGCATGTTCATGATTACTTTTACATACTTATATAAAAGTTCCTGTCTCGGGGCTGGGAAGGTGGCTCAGTGGTAGAGCGCTTTGCCTTGCATGCCTGAGGCCCTGGGTTCGATTCCTCAGCACCATATAAGCAAAAAGAAAAAAGCCAGAAGTGGCGCTGTGGCTCAAGTGGTAGAGCACTAGCCTTGAGCTGAAGAGCTGAGGGACAGTGCCCAGGCCCAGAGTTCAGGCCCCACAACTGGGCCAAAAATAAATAAATAAATAAAAGTTCCTGTCTTTTCCAAAACCTACCTCAACATGCAAAGCTCCATGTGATCATCATGACAGGAGGGAATGACCAACTCTCCCCTGCAGGCCACAGAGGAAGACACGTGGGAGAGAGCATATGTTCTGTTAGGAAGAGAACAGGCCTCTAAGCCTGAGAAGAAGCAGCTGAGTTCCATCTAAGTCTGTAATCTATAGAGCTGAGGATCTATGGCTGGAAGAATTCAGGGTAGATCTTTGTGATAAATGACAGGTAAGCTGCAAAGAAGGGAACTAACTGGTGGTGAGTGACTTTGAATAAAAATAATACATGAATTTGACTTCTGGAAGTTCACCATTTTTTCTTATTTTTAATTTTTTATTATAAAGGTGATATATAGCGGGGTTACAGTTATGAAAGTCAAGTAATAAGTACATTTCTCTTGAGACAGTGTCACCCCTTTCCTTGCTCTCTCCCAGTTTTTCCCTTCCATCTCCACCTAGAAGTTGTAAAGTTCATTTTCAGCACAGTGTTGTTCACTATTTTTATGAATAAAAAGATTTAAGTTTTAGCCAGGTGCCAGTAGCTTACACCTATAATCCTAGCTACTCAGGAGGTTGAGATCTGAAGATTGTAGTTCAAAGCCAGCGTGGGCAGAAAAGTCCATGAGACTTTATCTTCAACTAACCACCAAAAGGCTGGAAGTGGTGAGCACTAGCCTGGAGCACAAAAGTTCAGAGATGGTGTACAGGTCCTGAGTTCAAGCCCTGGGACTGGAACAAAATAATTTTTGAAAGTGTATGTCTTGGGATGTGTTCTCATAGCGAAAGCTCTCAAACTTCTGGGCTCAAGTCATCCTCCTGCTTCAGCTTCCTCAAAGTAATAGCTGGGGCTACGGTGCGTGCCACTTTATCTGGCAATGATGAACCTTGTCTTGTAAAGGAATTCTTCCTCAGCATGCATCTTGAAACTCATAATTAGAAAGAGTGGGCAAACAGAATACCCTTCAAACTGAATTTGCTTTTGAAAACGTGTAGCCTACAAATACAGTGTATTCAATAAGATGTATCCTAGCTCTATTGAGAGACATATTGAAAAATGTTCTCTGAAGGAAGAATGGTCATATCTGAAACAAATTTCAGGAACTAAACATAGACAGTATGGTAGAGGATGGACTATTTGATGAACCAGACCTGTATTCTGGGTCCAGAATTCACTAATTCGCAATGTGCCTTGGAATCCTGCACGACAAAGTCAAGAAGTTAAACTAGACTTTTTACAGGATTCCACTGAGCTAGAGGCCTCCTGGGGCCTTGTACATGGTAGGCAAGTGCTCTACCACAGAATTATATGTACTCCCAGCCCTGGTTCATGGTTTTAAATAAAACCAAAGCCTAATTTTTAAAAGTTTAAAAAAAAAACCTTTAGCTGGGCATTGGTGGTTCATGCCTATAATTCTAGCTACTCAAAAGGCTGAGATCTGAGGCTCAAGGTTCAAAGCTAGCCTAGGCAGAAAAGCCCGTGAGACTCTTATCTCCAATTAGCCACCAAAAAGCTGGCAGTGGAAATATAGCTCCAGTGGTAGAGTGCCAACCTTGAGCAAAAAGTTCAGCTGCAGAGCCCGGAGCCCTGAGTTCAAGCCCAGGACTGACACACAAACAGAAAACTTTAGGAATTAAAAAGGTGGCTTATTGTATATTAGTAGCATTTTTCAACCAAAAAAAAGTAGGTTGTTGTGTTATTCTGTTTGTCTTTTCCCTTAGGGAGCCTGATATATATTCTCCTCGATTAAAAATAGTATATATTCTTGGGTGTCCAAGATACTTCTTTCACTCTCAGAGTATGTTTTTCTTTTATTAGTTTTGTTTTTCATTTTGCACAATGTACTCAGGAAGTAGCAGTGGATATAACCCTCCAATATAGTGCCTTCCTCTTTCATCTCCTATTTCCTTCTTCCTCCTTTCCTCCTTCTCCTCTTCCATCTCCTACTCCTTATTCTTCCCATTTCTCCCTTCTCTCTCTCTCTTTCTTTAAAAAAATAATTCTTGGAAGATATATGGAAGCAATTTGGAAGATGCAGTCTGCTACTGCATTAGAAATATAATCCTTGCCACTCAGGAGTCTGAGCTCTGAAGACTACAGTTCAAAGCCAGCCCTGGCAGGAAAGTCTTATCTCCAATTGACCACCAAAAATCTGGAAGTGGAGCTATGCCTCAAATGGCAGAGCCAGAAGGAAAGGAAAGAAAGCAAGAAAGGCAAGGAAAGGAAAGATGGAAGTAAGGAAGGGAAAAAAGGAAGAAAGGGAGAAAGAGGGAGGGAGGGAAAAGAAAAGAGAAGAGGATAAAAAAGAGAGAGTGCCAGAGACAGTGCCCAGGCCCTGAGTTCAAAGCCCAGGGCTGGTGTGTCTGTGTGCACATTCTCCACCCCCCCCCAATCTCTTTAAGAAATGTATTTTTAAACTTCAAAACTATTCTAAGAAGCAAGGATTATAGTCATTTTACCTTTGTAAGCATAAAGGCAGAACCTCTACCAAATTCAGTACAGATTGACCTGGATTCACATCCTGACGGCAGAGCTTACCCAGGAACTGGCATGAAGTAAGTACTCTGTGTATTTTTTTTTTGAGGATTTGGATTTCTTTTTTTAATTGTTATAAAGGTGATGTACAGAGGGGTTGTGTTACTTCAGTCAGGTAATGAGTACATTTCTTTTTGGACATTGTCACCATTTCTCTCACCCTCTCCCAATTCTTCCCTCCTGTCCCCACCCACACATTATAGTTCATTTTCAACATAGTGTCTAGTGAGTACCACTGCGGCCTTTATTCACCTTGTGTCCCTCCATTTCTAATACTCTCCTCCCTTGCCTCCCAAAGACAAATAAATGAACAAACAAGACAAAAAGAAAAATTCTTATTGCCATTTCCTGAAGTTCTTTTTGATAAAGTTATTTTTGAGATACATTATTTTCACCAACTAGAAAAAAACAGAGCAGGAATCTTTCTACTCTGCAGGGCTAATTATCTGAAGGAGCAGTAGGAGAATCAGCCTTTCTCCCCATTTATCCAACTACCACTCCTTCTCCACTATCTAGAATACCCAATTCCCACATCATAGCGCATGGGAAAAGGACACAGATCTTGGCACAACGGGGAACCCCTTTACCAAAACTATGGAAGTCAACACAAATGAAGAAGCCTCAGAACAGAGTGTGGGAGAAAATGTGTTGAAGGATGCCAGTGACAATAATAAAGCTACTAACAAAAGCAAGGGAGTATGATCACAAGATAAGGATGATGGTTATATCCAAGTTAGAGGAAAATGGTTGTGGTCCAGAAGAGGTGCAAACAGACCCTGCACACCCAAGGCTCTTATATTTCTCTATTTGAGTAGGAGCTTCACATATGTTCACCTTATAATTATTTGAATGCTGTAAAATATCTATCTTTTCATACATACAATAGGTTTCATCATTTTATTTTATTTTTGGGGGGTGGGGGTCCGGTCGTGGGGCCTGAACTCTGGGCCTGGGCGCTGTCCCTCAGCTCTTCAGCTCAAGGCTAGTGCTCTACTACTTGAGCCACAGCGCCGGCTTTTTTCTTTTTGCTTATGTGGTGCTGAGGAATCGAACCCAGGGCCTCATGCATGCAAGGCAAGTGCTCTACCACTGAGCCACCTTCCCAGCCCAAGGTTTCATCATTTTAAAAGAATGTAACACTCCTAAAACTCTCATTACCAAATAACAGCAAAATATTGGGTTAAGGCAGATCAAACATTCAGAAGCTTTAGACTTGAGAAGAATATATTTGTGGGCAAATATGTAGTAATAGTTTATATCAAAAAACTGTCCTCACTAAAAGGTAAGTATACAGGCTGGGCACTAGTGGCTCACATCTATAATCCTAGCTACTCAGAAGGCTGTTTGAAGGCTGTTCACTGTTTGAAGCCAGCCTGAGCAGCAAAATCTGTGGGACTCTTATCTCCAATAACCTACTCAGAAAAAGGCAGAAGTGGTGCTGTGGCTCAAGTTTTAGAACATTAATCTTGAGCACAGAGAGGCTCAGGAACAGCGCCCAGGCCCTGAGTTCAAGCCTGGGGTCTGGCAAAAAGAAAAAAAATTAGACTGAATAAAAGATCACTATACAGGAATAAACCAAAAACAAAAGAAAAGTCTAGACTTACTCTCCACAAACTAACACTCTAGCCCCAAGGTAAAAGGTATATTATCCTTTGGGACAGGGGAAGTGCGTTCCTAAGGGTTGTTACAGGAAGAGACTAAAACTTCAGGAAACATCTGCTGATGTGCTCAATGGCATACAATGAAAGCTGACCTCTGGGGAAGAAAAGGTGAGAGCATATGTACAGATTAAAATAAAATATAATGATGGTGGAGAAGGAGCTGAGACACAAAGTCATCCTCAAAGAGAAGGCAGCACCCACACAACCATGCACGCTTAAAATGTGCTCAGACTTCAGTATCTGAAAGGCAAGAGAAGAGTTAGAATCCATTTTGGGATTAGTAACCAGCAAATTCAGCAAATTGCTGGCGTATAGCTGTGGCTGCCAAAGCCAGGCAATGATGAGCAGAATTCAGCCCAAGCCACACCTCCACGCAGAAGCTCAGCGCCCTGGATCTCAGGCTCAGTAACCACTCAGTTACAATGTGGTGGAGTCCACGCTGTCCAGCCTTCCCTCCTCTTACTTGACCCCCCCATGTCTTGCTGCTCTGTCGTGCTCTCCAGTGCTCTAGCTAAGAGGAACTCCTTGCTGCTTCTCCACTGTGCCAACCATGCCCTACTTTCTCTTGAAGGATTTCTCCCATGGAGAGAGACCACTCCCTTGCTTCCTTCTGGCTTGTGGGTGAATGTCACTTTATTGGTGACCCTCACCCTGGTGGACTTACTTAGACTGAAGCATTCACTCGCTCGGGCCTTTGTCAGCTTCTTTACATTCTCTGTGTGCTTATCATCATCTAACTAACACTGTAGATTTTATTTCTTTATCATCTTTCACCCTGGTGGGAGCTGTGTGGAGAAGGAACTAATGGAAGTGTATCCCTAGCTATGCTGATAACACAAGTAATGTATGTGTTAAATAGAAAAAAAATATTCCTCCAAGAGCTTAAACCACAATGACAGAAGAAAGACTACATAGTCATCATAATAAATCAAAGATGTCCAAGTCCCTCTGCAATCCCTCACATCATAACCCACGCAAATAATGATTGTGTAAGATGAACAATACGCAATAAGCAAAGAAAGTCTTTCATTACCATCCACTGATGCAGTGGCAAGCCCTTGACCCAAGGCCTCGTGGTAAACAGCTGGAACACTGAATGAAAATATATGGAACAATTGTTTTTAGACATTGGCTAACAGCCAGTGCAGGACCCCAGTTCCTGTGAAAAGGAGTAGATGAACAAGCCCAACAATCACCAGGTTCCTGCCAATAGGCAATTTTCAGACTAAGGAGAAGGAAGTTGGAACAGAGACTGGAGGTCTTGCTAAGGGCAGGGCAGCATGGAGTGTAGGAGACTAAGGAAGTTGGAAGTGGCAGAGCAGAGTTTTGGAAAGAAAAATGTGCGTAGGTCTTCCTTTGGATTTTTCCTGGAGAAGGAGTAATTCATTTGTAGAATGAAATCCCGTAACATTGTCCAAAGAATACCCAGGGAACTGTATAAAGCTTAGCATTCAGTTCTGTCCAGAAGTAGAGAGTTCTGTGCTCATTTTAGACTCATGCTAGGAAAAATCTCCAGACAGCACTGGAGCGCTCAAATGGAGTGGCAAGAAACTTAATTGCTGGCTCTAGAACAAAGCACAACACACCTTAAAGAAAGAAACAGAAGTCTAGATCCGTAAGACCCTAACTTTCAGAATATCCATTGGATACAAAAATCGAAAAATGTCAGCCTAGAATTCTTTTTTTTTCTTTTTTTTTGTCAGTGGTGGGGCTTTGAACTCTGAGCCTCGGCTCTGTCCCTCAGCTTTTCAGCTCAAGGCTAGCACTCTACCACTTGAGCCACAGCACCATTTCCGGTTTTCTGAGTGGTTTATTGGAGATAAGAGTCTCATGGATGTGCCTTGCCCAGGCTGGCTTTGAACCTCGATCCTCAGATCTCAGCCTCCTGAGTAACTAGGATTACAGGTGTGAGCAACAGGCACCCAGCCCAGCCTAGAATTCTTTCTCAGTTCTAAAAAATTGTTTTCAGTGAATTTTTAAATCTAAAAAAACAAAACCCACCTCATCATCCTACATGTATGCATTGTAAGTAATGTCCTATCAAGTTCTTCTAGCAGAAGGAAAAGAATGGGGATGGAAACTCAGATCTATATAAAGAAATAGAGGACTAAAAATGGCAAATATGGAAGTAAATAATAAGACTTTTTTCCTTATTTAAAAAAATGTTAAAAGGCAGTTGAGCACTCATGGTAAAAGTCATGCAATGTATGGCCCTGGTGACAGCATGGTTTGAATGCTCACCTCTTGAATTGGAAAAACGCAGCTTGATGCAAAAATTAATAAAATAAATTGGCATCACATAATTTTTAAAGTAATTCAGTGTAAATTGATGGCTCATATTTTGAAGCACTGTATATGGAAATACAAGAAAAGAGGGAGAAATGCAGGGTTGGTGTCTTGTATTTTAACTAAAGTTAGTTGTATAACAGAATTTAGAGTTAGACTATCATCAATTTGTGCTTTGTAAATGTACAGCTTTCAAAAAATTCAAAAGTTGAAGTTCAAACACTGGGGTTTAAACCTGGCCTGCACTTGCTAAGCAATTGCACTACCACTTGAACCACATCTCCAACCATTGTTGCTTTAGTTATTTTTTTCAGGTATGGTGTTGCATTTTTGCCCAGATCTAACCACAGACAACAATTCCTTTTTCCTGGGGCTTGAACTCAGGGCCTGGGCTCTGTCCCTGAGCCTCTTTGTGCTCAAGGTTAGCACCCTACCACTTGAGCCACAATACCACTTCTGGCTTTTTCTGAGTAGTTTATTGATGATGAGAGTCTCACAGACAGACTTTTCTGCCAAGGCTGGCTTCGAACCATGATCCTTAGATCTCAGCCTTCAAGGTAGCTAGGATTATAACTGTGAGCCATTGGCACCTTTTCAAAGACTACAATTCTGTCTCTTGCTTCCTACATAGTTGGGACCACAGGTACATACCACTCTGCCTTCCTTGTTTGTTGAGATGGGGGTTTCAAGAACTGTTTACCTTGGCTGCCTTAAAGAGAGATTCTCCCCATCTCTATAGCCAAGTAGCTAGGATTATAGGCATGAGCCACCACCCCTTCAAACACAACTGACAATTATGTGGGAAGTAAATCCACTGAAATTGAACAATAGTCATCTCTAGCTGGTAGAACTTTGATTTATTATATCTATGTATCCCAAGTCTTTTTTTAATAATAAGCAGATATAAAAACATATTGAAAAAAGTATACATTCAATTTCTACTATCTAGTATGAAAATGATTTCACTAGAAAATGTTTAGAATTCTAATGAGACACACAATCAGCACTTAGTTCTTCAAAGTGTATCTACAGATTTTTCTATGCCTTCAAAAAAAATTGCAGTGGAAACCTCATTTTAATGGGAGTTTTAAGTTTTCATGTTGGGATGAAACCAGTAGTTTTTTTCATAACAATATTCAGTTTGTATCCTGATGGATCTAGATGAGCTTATTTGTAAAAAAAAAAATTTTTTTAAATAGGAAAGGGCATGCTAGCTCAGAGACATAAGGGATTTCTTTGAAGGACTGAAATAAGTGTTGAGACTTTCATTCATTGTCTGTATATCATTTTACCTTTTTTTATTAGCATAGACTATATATATAAGACCTCACTGTGATATTTACACATGCATACTTTAATCAGCTTTACCCCAACTATATTAATCTTTCTTAACATTCTAACCATTTCCACGTGCTATTTTCATACATATATATTATATATTTCTGTAATATTCACCCCCCATTGCTTCCCCCCACCTTCAAAGAGTCCCTATTTTACAATCCCACTATATTATTAGTTTAGGTCTAGATTCCACATATGATTGAAAATGTGATATTTGGGTTTTTTGTTTTTTTGTTTTTTGCTGGTCCTAGGGCCCAAACCCTGAGCTTGAGCACTGTCCCTAAAGTCCTTTTGCTCAAGGCTAACACTTTACCACTTGAGCCACAGGACCACTTCCAGCTTTTTCTGTGATTAATTGGAGATGTTAATTACAGATATCTATCTTGTATGTTGATTTTCATCCTGTTT